CCAAGTGTACCTCCTCCCTACAGCATATTCACCCTAACAAACAATGTTCACACTCGAAGTAATTATACCCCAGGGAAACAGTACTTTGTCTCCTATTTAGCCGCTGAAGTSTAGCATTATAGTGTGGATTGACTTAAGCAACTTGGATACACCAATACTCCTGGACATTTTCACTTTTAACATTCCACCATGTTGCTCAACACTCCATCCAGCCTAGCCTTGGACACTTCAGGGATAGGGCATTCACAACTTGGGGCAATGTGACAATTCCATCCTCATGATAAAAGATGTCTGATGTTGAGTGTAAATTACATTCTTCAATTCAAAACTGTTGCCCCTTAGCCTGTCACTACAGACCCTGGTAGTCTTTCTCCATGCCCCCTTTATATACTGAAAGRCCAGAACAAGGTCTTCCTGGAGCTTTCTTGTTCTCCAGGCTGAACAATCCGAKCTCTCACTTGACAGGAGAGGTGTTCCAGTCCTCTGACTTTTCTCTACCATATTAACTATCCCTGCTCCCCCTGAGAGCTGGCCTAAGACACCTACAAAACAGCCCTGCTCTGATACAACAATTAAATCTTACTGACTTGCTATGAAGTGTTTTACTACACTGCTCTATCAGTCCTTACTTGCTGCATATCATCTGAAATAAATCCTGCTAGTCATCTCTGGATTTGCTGCCACTTTCTTCTCGATGTATTATGGTTTCACAATTGTAAATGGCACAGAAGCAGACAGCTTTAAAAAAAMCCCAAACCTTTATTTTAATTCATCTCCTCACTGAGGCTCATTACAAAATCCAGAGAGATGGTCCTTGGACTCTTACCAAGCCCCGTCAAGCCTCCTGCCTATGGAAGAGGAATGCCCCCTACAGGCAGGTGCAGGAAGCCCAGAACAGCAGAGCAGTTATCTGCTTTCCCAGCTCCAGCCCAGTCACTCCATAGGCACAGAGTCCAGCTCATTGAGGAAGCGCTGACATTTTCCCATCAGGATCCTGATGGCTTCACTCACCAGCACATCTGGAGGCAAGATACCCGTCGACTCCACTGAAACTGCACAGAGACACAAGTCAGCATAGCCACGAGGCAGCCTCRGCCTGCACCTGCTCCATGCTTGTGTCCCTCGCCTTTCCTTACACCTCACTCCAACCAGCCAGATACTCACAGCCAGACAAGCAACTACATTTGCCAGCAGGAAGCACCAACAGATTCAGTCCCAAAGCAAGCAGTTAGGCACTGGATTCTGAATGTATGGATGATGCTGAGGGTGGGGAGAAGCGCAGAGCCAGCCACACATGCTGGCCGGTCTCTGCTGGTTCACACAAACCACAGCAGAGGAACTGTGGGAAAAGTGCACTTACAGATGTAATGGTTCCGTACTCTTGCMAGGCGCACAAGATTTTTCAGACCTTCATGACGGAAAACTTCTCTGCTGAATGTGTCTAACCGTGCATTGGCTACCCTTGCCACCTTTTTTCCTAAAGGGAAGATGAACTGAGATGGGCAAATTGCAGCAGATGGGTGCCTTGCGGTCACAGCAGGTGCTTACTCCTCAAACAGGCATTTCCCCATCACCAAAGGTAGGGAAGCCACCAATATTAAGAATTAGCATGTACCCAACATGGCACTCCAGCCTGGCAGAAAAACCCAACATGAAGCACACAGGCTGTGTGCACTCCTGGGCAGGACACACGCGTTCTCCTCCACACTCCACTGCTGGAAAGAGCAAGCTCACTACCCAATGTTACAACTGAACAGCACTGGAAGCTGCAGTCAGYAGCTGCAGATCTCTGCAGACAATATCCAATGCCTCAGCATTTCAAGGACAACCCAGGTCATCACCCAACACATCTCCATGTGGCAACMACTCAACCATTAAATCAAGCTCAGAAGAGCACGAACCATTGATCAGCAAGGCAACATAACAATGTGGTTTTGTCTCTACAAACTTTGGCTCTAATCTCAAATCAGTCTCTACTAAACTTTGCAAGGAAGAAAGCACTTAATGCAGGAAAAAAGGTACCATTGATATTCTGGATCTCAATGACTCCAGGGGAAAAGCACTTCTGCAATGTCTCAGCTGCCTCATCCTCAATAGGCTGCAGGAGAGTAATTTCAGGAAGCAGTCGATAACTGGCTGTGGCCACAGGAGAAAACTTGGCATGATCCTTACCTGTGTGAGGAGTTAAGAGTCAAGGATGAGAGTAGGCCTCAGGGAACAATGRTGCTGGGGCCTAAAGTTCCAGGGAAAAAGCCAGTTCTCCAGCCTCCCCCATCATACAGCAGTGCCCTGGTCCAARCACTTACATTCCTTGTCCCGCTGCCCCAGGAGTCATGACTCACCTATGCCCTTGACACAGTGCATAAGCACATCGATCTCCTGCCCAGGTCGCAACAGCGCAATGAGGATGTCATCGTGAACAGGTCGGAAGTCAGCATCTGGAAAAAGGTCTGTCTGATTCCCCAAGGGCACCCATGTCATGTCTTTACTATACACTGCAAAGAGAAGCCACAAGCATCAGCCAGCTGCTGCCTCAAAGCAGGTCACTCACCTGCTGACCTCAGGACTGGAGAGAGCAAAAASTAAGTTTAGCAGAATGGAATCAACTCTCTCCCTGTGAGGACAAAGGGCTGAGAAAACAGCCCAAATGTTGTCTCCAAGACCAAAAAAAAAAACAAACCAGCATCTATTTTTAGGAGAGATCTCACCTTTGTGATTGAAATATAGTTCATCAGGATCAGATGATTCCTTGGCTGCCTGAGGGTTTCGTTTGCATTTAATTTTCAGCTGAAACTGCAGAGTATCAATTTCTGTGCCTTCCTGATCTCCTAGGAAGAAGCACACAAAATTGCACTTCTGCTCAGTTTACATGACCCTGATTTCCTACTTTGAGGGAAACTTTTAAATATTTCTATTCTATCCAAGACTCTCACCTTGGTTTCTGTATTCGAAGAGCCGAGGGTCAGCTCGGATTGGGATRAGGCCCAACCGATGAGCTAGAATTTCATCCTGCACAATGGATGTGTTGTTGTACACAAAGACCTTCTCTACAGCCATCGTTGGCACCTCAGGGAGACAAGAAATTAAGTCAGCCTAAAATAACAGTTGAACTAAGAGCCAAGAGATTATCCAGCTCCAGTGTCCCTCCTCTCCCACAAATAACTGCCATGTAGACTGTTTTCAGTGGTATTTCTGCCAAACCAGGCTACACAATATACTCTTACGCCCCATCTACTCTCATCCTCATTTTTTTTTAAAACAATCGACCAGAAGAGGTGAAGGGCAGGGGAAAGGAAGAGGCTTTGGGGCATCTTCAGCCTTTCAATACATGTCAGCATTATGCAGCTTCTATYGGGTTGGCAACACAACTGTGTCGAAAAGGCTGACCCGCAGAKAGTACCAACAGCAGCCCGAAGAGCAGCAAGCAGAATCAGCCATGCTGTTAAAGCCCTAATTCTCTTTGGGCCCCCGGCACACGTGCGGAACGAAAGCGTGYTTCTCTCCCAAAACCCGCAGCTCTCCGCAAGGGCTGGGCCTTCCCCGCTCCCCGTCACGCAAGTCCTCGGCCGGCACGCCGCGGTGAGCACTCCGGAGCAGCGGTACCTCGGCGAGCAGGATGCGGCGGAAAGCGTTGGCGATGGCGGCGTCRATGCCCACCATGTCGAACTCCAGGGCGTCCTCTTCCTCACGGATCACATCCACGCGGAACGTCTGCGGGA